GTTGATAAGAATGTTGTTTATTGGTCCAGTGGTGAGGATTTTTGTTTTCTTTACATTGAGATGCAATCCATACCAAAAGTTGTGCTCTTTGATCTTCATCAGTAAATATTTTAAGTCCTCTTCACTTTCAGCAAGCAAGGTTGTATCAGCAGCATATTATAGGCTGTTAATGAGTCTTGTTTTTCTTGATGCCATGTTTTTCTTCATAAAGTAAAGGATAAAATTCAAACTCCTAGTGAATTTCTTGTGCACCCCCTTTATGATTCACCCCTTGCCTGTCTCTGTAGCCTCATGCCTGGACTTTTCCCAGGGTTTCACATGGTCCCATGCCGTAATCCGCAGTTGGCTCATATCACAGAACACATTCAGTTGTGACTCTGTCTTTGCACACACAGCGTCATTTTCCTGCCCATTCACACACCTCGCCATGTCCACTGGATCCCTGTGCCCTCCCCTAGTGCTCAGCTCAAGTGCACTCATACCTCTTCGTGGATCCTTTGGTGCAGTCTTTTTCTGTGGTTTTCTGCTGCACATTATAAATAACATTTGTCTCAGTACAGTATATATATATATATATTCTCCACTAGTGTAAACTATAAGGGTAGAAATTTATAGTTTCAACTCTTTATCCTCAGTGCCTGATACTTATTTAGTAAACATTCAATAAGTATTCAAGAACAGAATGAGTCCCCATTTTCTGGTGACAGGAATATTTTCAAGAAAATCTTAAGACTAGAATATGTTGTGCCATATTTAACAAACACTCATTGCTTAACATGCATTGAACTGCAAGTATGTACTGACCTTGAGATAAAAGCAGCGAAAAGTGTTATCATCAGGTAATGATGAATCGTCATGAGATTTTGGCATGTTTTGCAGATCAAGGATCTGGATTTTGTGTAACTGGCAAAATTGAAGCCGGTTATATCCAGACTGGTGACCGACTGCTAGCCATGCCTCCTAATGAAACTTGTACTGCAAAAGGTATGCCTCAACCAGACTCGCTTGCTAAACAAACCTTTAAGACAGCAGATTATTTTAAGTAGTTTAGTTATTAACTCTTACTGAAACTGTAACTAACTGTCAAAGTGAAACTAACTGTTGAAGATTAAGATGTGAAAACATGAACCGATTTTTTTTTCTGTTGTGACTGTGTGTGTATATGTACATGTAATATTCTAATTGTGGTAACATCTTCATTGATTCAAGAAGTCTGGTTAGGGTTTAATCAATTGTGTAGACACACCTGACAGCTACATCTCAAATCTTAATGTGCAGCAGAAAATAAATCTGAACCCAGCCTAACACTGACTAGTCACTAGCAAAGCGGACTGCTACCATCTGTTGTTTTGTAGTGTGCATTTCAGAATTATGGCCCGTTAACAGCCTTCATCATGTTTATAACAAAAAAATGTTTTACAGTTAAATGTTAGTATGCAAATATGCAAATAACTATGCAAATGCAGAAAAACCTAATATTGAAAAGCGTAATTGAATGAGTGCAAGGTACCACAGCCTCCTCTCCTTTTGCTACTAGATGGAGCCTGTATCATTTCTTAATGGCCAACCACTCTTTCTATCTTGCCATCATTTGGTCTTGCATAGACACAGTAGTTCTTTTCCTGATTAAAGGTTTCTAATTCCGTATTCCTTCAATGTGACTTCTAAGTAAGTCTGTGACTTTAATATATAACTTGAGGTCTATGTCTTACCTTTTAATAAAGCAATATTATTTGTAGCAATTTTAAGCTAAAACATGACCTATTGAAAAAAAAAATTTTAAGTGTCTATGTTTTTCCTTCTGTTGTTTTAATTTATAATATATAGTCAGAGTTGTACCTGACTACCTTATAAATTTTATTGTACTTGTAGTTAGGCTAGGTCAGTTTGCTCACTGTCAAAGCAAGTTTATTGACGATGACAAGAAATTATCGAATATCTGCTTAGGTGTAACATATTGTAACTTAAATTTAAAGATCAATAAGGTGATATTTGCAAGTGGAGCCCTCAGCTTTTGCTTTTATTGTGTGTGTTTTTTTAGATAATTAAGAGCTACTTTTTTGAAATATTAATTTTTTTGTTAGCAAGTTGTTTTGAGAGCAAGATAATCTTTTTTAGTAGTCAGCAATTATGAATTAGACTATGATACTAAATGTACCAGACTTTACAGATTGGTTCCTTCATGAACCCCAAAATCATAATTCCCAGATTTCATAAGCTTCCTGGAACTCCCTAAAACTCTACTAACTGCCCCTTAAGAGTATGCAGTGTGGGGAAAATGCATATCTAAAGAACAATTTGGGTAGATTATAATTTACTAAAAGCATGTTAATCAAGAACTGTGCTCAGTAGACAGTGTACACACTGTCTTCATTAAAAGGCCCAGTTCTAATAGAAAAAGTCTCCATAAAATTTCCCATATATTCAGAAAGCCTGGGATCTCTTGTAAAAGCTCTTGAATAGTGTAGCTGAGATTACCCTTTGGAATTGCTTCCCAGGACTACCTTTAGATAGTATAGTTGCATTCAACACCTAGAATAATTTTTAAATGAAATGTTATTATTACCACTATTTTCTTTAGATGATCTCTTTTCATAAACTAGTTATCAGTATGCGGAACTCTTTCTTGGAAGAATTCTCTTGAGCCTGGAATAGTGGAGGGGACTGATGAAGACAGTTAGAATTACTGACTGAGCACGGGTCCCCATGGTTGACTTGGAGAACACAAGCTAGGTCGTCTAATGAAAAGCAAATTCAAGAGAATAAAATATTACTTAATATCTTCCCCAGCCCTATGTTTATGGTGTTAAAATAATTTGAAATGTGTTATGATTAAGCTTGCATCCACTTAAGTAGAACTTGTTTATGTCTAATGAATCTATAAGAAGCTGGTCGTGCAGTGCTTCAGCTCTCAGCTGCTAACCAAAGATTGGCAGTTTGAATTCACCAGCTGCTTTGTGGGAGAAAGGTGAAGCAGTCTGTTTCTGTTCATATATATAGGCCTGGAAACCCTGCAGACTAGTGACCGTATCTACAGAGTCACTGAGTCGGAATTGACTTAAATACTAAATACAATGGATGCTTGTTGTTATTTTTTAATGAATGTATCATTTGACTACATGAGTATACAAATTTTGATAAAATAAGAGAAGAACCAGCCTTTTATAGGTGAATACAAGCCACTCTATGCTTATGGTGGGGTTCTAGAAGAGTCCAGTCTAGAGGAAGTGTGTTGGCCCAATGCTCACAGTAACACTTCTCCGTCTCATTCCATTCATACTGAAAATGTTGAGTAGTGAGTGATGAAGCACAAATCAGCCAAAGTCTCCTGGTTGTTATGAGTTGACATTGAAGTGTTTCATTGTATGCTTTGGTTCTTACTCATTTCCAGGAATCACCCTGCACGATGAACCTGTCGACTGGGCGGCAGCTGGAGATCACGTCAGTCTTACATTGGTTGGGATGGATATCATCAAAATCAAGTGAGTGCCAAAATGAGTCTGAGTGACCACTGGTTTGGATATAGACACAGACTTGGCAATATCCACTGTCTCCTATGAAAGGATTCATATTCACTTTGAATTTCATTTGGTCAAAAGTCAGACACCAGTGGAAGTAGAGGTATGATAGGAAAACCCAATCTATTTAAAATGGGAATTAATACAAATCAGCACTTGTACTTGCCAACTTCTTGATGTGAAATCTGCAGTGTCAAAAATAATGGAAGGTTAATGGTATGAACCATGCTTTATAATCTGTGATTTACTTAGTCGTTATGCTTCCTGATAAATGGTTTTAGAGATTTTCCTGTTGAATGTAAATTTGTTTTCCATCCACCTTTCCTCTTTTTATTTGTTTTGTTACAGTGTTGGCTGCATCTTTTGTGGCCCCAGAGATCCTATTAAAGCTTGCACTCGTTTCCGAGCCCGAATCCTCATCTTTAATATTGAAATTCCTGTCACTAAAGGATTTCCTGTAAGTTTCAAAGTTTCACTGTTACTATTTTATAAAGTCAAAGTAACTTTTCTCTAAAAAGATACCAAGTCTCTTAATAAGCAGTGATGCTATAGTAATTTTTATATCTCATTACTCTCCAGAAAATCATAAATGTTGAAGATGTAAATTATTCCTAATTTTTATTTGTTCCTTTATCCTGGGGATTTTTTTAAAGAGGCATTGCAAAAATATTTCATTATTAATAAGATCCAGGCTTATGATAATAAAATCCACCCAAGGGAAATAGTGAATAATCACTTTTTACTGATGTGGCACTGTAGGCTAATGAGTCAGACTGCAAAGTCATTTGAACTGCAAGGTCGGTGGTTCAAGCTCACCAGCTGCTCCTTGGAAACCCTGTACAGACAGGATCACTGTGGGTTGGAATTGACTCAAAGGCACTAACAACAACAAAAAGCCAGTTAGATCGGCTCTTACTGTTTTGGTTTTGTTTAATAAGGCTTACATGTAAATTTTGTAATAAAAATTAATATGTTGTTACAGGAAAATTTGGAAAACACAAAAAGATAAAATAAGAATGTTCTGTAATGTATAATCCATATTGCTATTTAGATTTCATAGGTACGAGTACGTATTATCCACCCATGAGATTCCTAGATATAGCCCAGGGCTTCTCCACACACGGAAAGCTTAGTGTGCAGAAGCAGCACATTCGGACTCTGGAGCTATGAGGCTGGTCTGCTGGTCATCATTGCTTGGTGTCATTTAACAAGCACTGTATGGGGAGAGGGAGATTTTATACTCTAATTTTACTTGTCCTATAAAATCTGACTTGTGGATAGTAAAAATTTCTTGCTTTATGTGTAGAATGTGGAACCATACTCTTTATCATTTGATGCCTTACTTTTGTTACTTAGCAGATGAATGATTTCTTTTTGCTGATTAGTTTGCATAGTATATAGATTTTGCTTGACAATAAAAATTCTTCTTTTTGGAATTAAATGTTTTGCTTTGAAAATACAAATGGATCATTTTCACTGCATCTTGGAAATAAAAATAAGACTATAGTAGCAACATTTGATCTTTAAACTTTTTTAAGGTAGTGATAGTATGGGAATAAATTTATCTAGCTCCTTTAATTTTAGATTTATTTGTTATTTTTGTATTTAGGCTATATTTGAAATTAAGCAATTAGTATGTCCTTTGCCTATAATCCTTTGTCACTGTTTTTATATACATTTGGTAATATTAAAATTATATTTGTAAGATACATTTAGTACTTTTATAATTATATTCCATTTCTCCTGCATGCTATAAAAGGAGTAAAAGTCCCTCTCCACAAAAGTTGTTATACAGGGCAGTCCCTAGATTAGAAACAATTTTGTATCTAAATCTGACTTTAATTCAGAACAGTTAGGAATGATTCGTGCTTAACATCAGTTAGTCCAATGTTTTACTTAATATATAGTATATAGTGTACCTTTCTTAAAGTTGGACAATGATTGGGCAATGAATAAGGAAGACCATAGAGTTGGTACATTTGAGTTATGGTGCTGAAGAAAATAAACCTGAAGAAGAATATTAAAAGTGCCATGTCCTGGCATGGTGCTGTGGGATAAGCACTGAACTACAAGGTCTGTTCAAACCATAAAGTCATTGGCTCAGACTCACCAGTTCCTCCTCAGAAACTCTATACAGGGTCGCTGTGAGTCAGAACCTACTTGACAGCACTTAACAACAACATTGACGGCCCGAGAAACAAACAAATCTGTGTTGGAAGAAGTACAGTCAGACTGTTTCTTAGAAGCCAGGATGGCTTCATCTCTTGTACTTTGGGCATATTATCAGGAGGGATCAGTTCCTGGAAAAGTACATCACACTAGGTAAAATGGAGGGTTTCAGCGAAAAAGCAGAAAACTCCCAACAAGATGGATTGACACAGTGGCAGCAGTAATGTGCTCAAGCTTAACAACAATTGTGAGGCTGGTACAGGACCAGATAGTGTTTCATTCTGTTGTGCATAAGGCCGCTATGAGTCAGCATGGCCTCAATAGTACCTAACAAAACAACAACAGTGTACCTTTCTCTATATTAAAAGCATTTAACTGTTCCAGATCCAGTAGCAAAACCTCAAGTTTTTAATGCAATAGACTTTACAAGGATTGGTTCACAACTATGGGTTCTACATAAGTTGGACTTTCATAACCCATCGAATGCTTGTAGTTGCTATTTCATTTTTAAATGTTCAAAATTCATAAATTTTAGCCTATGTCTACGCAACCATGAGTTCACTGCTAGCTTATTCTTAGAAAGCAGTCTGTCCTACCGGGAGGCTGCTGTCACTCATGCAAGAGTAATGTCACGTTAGAGGTCAAGAATTCAGTAGTTACTCTGAACAGTAATACTGTCTTCCTGTCTACTAGAGTTTTTTTAAAAATAAACCTGAATTGAAAGTTTTCAGTGCAGATTTGTGATACTCCGCTTGAATATTTTGATCTACAAATACCAAGAGGAAATTTATTTCAGAAAAGACGATAAGTGGACATGTTTTGGAACCTAACGTATTAACTAGCACATTATAGTTTATAAACCACACTGTCACCACCCACCCTGAACTCACACAGTAGTGTTCTCAGTTTCCAGATGCACTGTGGCGGCGGCGGCGGCACAGTGCCTGTGTTCAGGTACGCTTATTTTATAAGCAATTGCTCCATTATTAGTAATTATCGCTAATCTCTTATTGTGCCAAAGTTATAAAATCATCACAGGAAAATAAATATGGATACCATCCACAATTTCAGCTATCTACTGGGAGTCTTGGAACATATCCCCCACAGATAAGGCGTGACTACTGCCTATGACCCTATCACCGTGAATGTACCAATCTTGTCTGATCTCAGAAGCTAAGCAGGGTCGGGCCTGGTTAGTACTTGAATAGGAGACTGCCTGGGCATAATGGGTGTGGTAGGTTTTAGGAGTCCTGGCGAGACACTGGGATAAACACTGGATCTCAAAGTCGGCTTGAACTGCAAGGTTGGTAGTTCAAACCCACCAGCCGCTCATTGGAAACCCTGTATAGGGTCACTAAGAGTCAGAACCAGCTTGATGGCACTTAACAACTGCAATCACTTCTGATTTTTCTGTATGAAGATTTTTTTCATTCGTGTGCAACGAAAGTCTTGTGACCCATACTGCTCTTACATAAGATGCTGTGGAGATAAAAAGTAAATAAAACCTAATTCTAAGTCCTACTTATTTCTTCATCACAACTTGTTTACTTTAGAACTGAGTAAACAGAAGTTCTAAGAGAGCATAGTGAAATATTTGAAGTTCAATCCCAGGCTCTTTTCTTACTGTTTCTTATAAAAGTAATAATAACAATAATTATCCTAAATGATAAATTGCCTTAGTCTTTACAAAACCTTAAGATGGTGTTATCCTCCGGCTTTTACAAAAGAAAAAAAAAACCAGTGACCAAAAGGTTATTTAATTTGCCAGCGTTTACACAGCCAGTGGTGATGTAGGAATGTGACCTTTTTCCCTGTGGCAGCTAAGTGCTTTAGAGTGAGGAGACTTTGTGGAAACACCTGGAGATCTAAAGGACTCTGAGCCGTGGTGCTGGGTTTAATCTGGTCCTGGTGTGGTGCTGTGGGTTCATGCACTGGACTGCAGAGTTGGTTTGAGCTGCAAGGTCGATGGTTCAAGCTCATCAGCCACTCCTTGGAAACCCTATACAGGGTCGCTATGGATCAGAACCAACTTGCCAGCACTTAACAATAACAGCAACAGTATAATTAAATGTCAGGGCTAAAATACAGGGCAGAAGATGTTGAGGTAGACAGATTTTTACAAATGTTACAACTTTTTGTTTTAGGTGCTGTTACACTACCAAACTGTCAGTGAGCCGGCCGTTATTAAAAGATTGATCAGTGTCTTAAACAAGAACACAGGCGAAGTCACAAAGAAAAAACCTAAGTGAGTGTTTTCTTTATTCTTATTAAGTGAATGTTTTACTGAAGAAATAATAAAAAAGTAGTTTAGGCAGATTCCTTCTAAATTAGCCCATTTCTATAGTATTTCTCTTTGTGGTACAGAAACCCATTTTAACTTGTTCCAGAAATCATTTTTTCCCCCAAGGACTGGATTAAAACAAACACAAATGAATACGTCAACTCTTGTTAAAATATAAAAGCTGAATATAATTTTTCATATATGAGTGTGAATTATAAATAAAAATGTAGATGTAAATTTATATGTATGTATCAAGTTATAGGAGTCATGGGGTGATATTTTAGGATAAGCACTGGACTACTAACTATAAGGTTGGCAGTTCAAACCCAACAGCTGCTCCTTGAAAACTCCTACACAGTTCCACTGTGAGTCAGAACTGACAGGACAACATTTAACAACATCAGTAATCAAGTCCTAGATGCTGAAGATGTGGGAGAAAAAAAGGCATTTAAAAAGCCAATAATACTTTTTTTTTCTCTCTAAATGTTTCATTGTAATTATGTTATAGTTTACATGGGAGAACATTAGCTTTATATTCATCCTATTGTATATCATTTCATTGCCATGGTTACAGTCCCCTCCATGCATCATCAACCAACCAAAGGGTATACCTTGGTTATCAGCACACAGCCCCTCTCCCTCTCTGGATCTAGAGTGCCCAGCCGTTCCATCTCTCCACGTCATCGTCTCTGCCTCCATCTCTGCGTCACTGCTTCTCTGGTTAGTGTCCAACGTTCCGCTCTTTTCCCTGGATGGTCCCAGGGACCTCTGCTCATGGACTGCAAAGTCAACCACTCCCCTCCTTTTGCTACAAAATGTCTACTTTTACATTTCCAACCGTCACAGTCAATCCTGATAGCAATTATTCACTATTGTACCATATGAGTGCTATCCCGTCTCCTTTCATCAGCCCCACCCAGACAGATTGGATACTACTCTCAGTGGAGATTCTACCTTTTTTCAATAATACATTTTTGAAGGTGAATTTGCGTTATACCTTGCCTCTACTTCCAAATTTCAGCTGATGGCTTTCCTCATCTTTTGTATTTTTCCCTCAAGAAGAATCATTGCCTTAGACAGTGATCTCCATTCTGTCTTCCCTAGTTTACCCTAACTAAAAGGCATTTCTTCTGCTCAAAGTCCACCTGGAGCCTCAAGCTAAGGTGACCACCTCCACTGTTGACTTTGATTGCCATTCATCTACAGGCCTAGGTGTTCCCCTTTGGGTGAAACAAAATCAGTTTGTTTTTGTTTGTTTTTTTTTAAAGAAAGTACTTCTTGAGAAACTAAGATCTCTAAATAAAAACAAAATACAGAAGACTTGAGACAAATTTTGGAGTCCTGGTGTCATGCTGTAGGATAAGCACTGGACTGCTAACCTCACGATCGGCAGTTCAAACCCACCAGCTGCTATTCGGAAACCCCTTACAGGGCCACTATGAGTCAGAGCAAACTCAATGACAATTAATGACAACAGAGACAAATGTTATAAAACACACATATAAGAACGAGCTAAGAGAAAACTGACAGATCTGTAGAGATAAAGAAGGTGTGAAACCAAAAAGGGGAAGTAGTTAATCTTTCATTGCACTAACAGAGGATCCTAGGACTATCAAGAGGGAAGAGCATGAGTGGAGTGTGGACCCTAACCAGAGAAGATGGAACCAGGGACGAAAGCACAGGGACACAGAGCAGCTGAGGGCTGTAGACCCAGGGAATGAGAAAGGCCGTGTGCCTGTGAGCAGGAGGCGGGCGCTTGCAAAATGTGCCCTTTAGACATTAAATATATATATATTTTCTATGTGTTTTGTGTACATCAAAAAAAAAAAGGGTGGGGTGGGGGAAATAGCAGTAACAAATACTGTTAATCAATGATGGTCTTTTAGAGGGGATTGTAATCATTTCAGTGAAACAAAAAATGATTGGTTGAGTGTAAAACTGATCATCTGTCCTGTGAAGTCACTCAAATCACAATAAAAGCTTTAAAAAATATAAAGGAAATATCTAGGAATCTTATAGAAACATTCTTATAAAAACATAGGAAATACTACAGAACTCTTACCCTAATTCCACTAAAGACTAGTCATTGTCTGGCTTGGCTGCTTCAACTTTGGGGTTTTCCTCACTTCAACCCTGGGGGGAATCCCACCCAGAAATCCCCCTTTTCAGTCTTTGGTTGTTCCCCATCTCTTGCACGTGTGTAGGAGGCCCAGAGGAGAACAGTGGGGTCATGGGGTGGCTGCCAGGGGAAGAGACAGTCTTCCCATTGCTCTAAACCTGCGTCTCCTGTAGTTAGGAAGAAGAGAGGGCACAGCTTTCTCTCTTGAAGATGGTGCTGCATAATGTTCTGAGAAATGCTATAAAGAACTAACACTTTTTGAGGACTCCTCCCTTCTTGTGCTCCGCCGCTGTGCTTCCTCCACTTGGTTCATATTCTCGGTGCACAGGTGAAGCTGATACAATTGCTTTTCTTGTTTTCTAGTTGAGGAAATAGAGGCCTAGATTTCAGATCATTCTCTCAGCCACAGATCTAAAAGCAGCAGGCCCAGGTTGTCACTCAGTCACGTTATTCACATCAGTTGTTTTATTTGGGGACAGAAGCTAGGTTGTTTGATCAGCCAAGTGATTTGGAGAATACTCAATCTGAAGTGGACTCATTATTTCATCCCAAATCCTCCTCCTACTTAAACTCTGCATTCCCAGCTTGGTGGTGGTGGTCTTGTGGATTCCCACCTTAGCTTTCCCTGACCCTCTTCCCTTTGAGCTGAAATGTAGCTGAGTAATTTTCTCTTATTTTTCACCTCACCCTTGGCTGTTTCCCTTCATTCCAGCTTAGGTACGTAGTAAACTCTTGATTATGCTGAATGAAGTTGAACTTCTTAGAAACCAAATTATGAGTAATTTGTGAGTTTCTTAGATGTTATCTTTCATGTATTTGGACATTTGGATATATATTTTTTAGAAATTTATTTGGCACCATCTTTCTGTCCATCAAAGAGGAATTTACAATTGCTCTTTTCTATGGTGTGGCACTGTAGAATAAGTACTGGACTGATAACCACAGGTCAGCAGTTCAAACCCACCAACTGCTCCTTGGAAACCTTACACAGGGTCACTATGAGTCAGAACTAACTCAATTCTAACAGAAAATCCTTCTAGAGTACAGTGAAATAAATTGGAGAATTATATCAAAATGTCTCTTTTGGGTTCTACCCCCAGATGCTCTCTCCCAGTAAGTCTGAGTGGGGCCCATATGTGTTTTTAGGTTTGCTTGTTTGTAAGAAACCCTTTAGCATCTGGCCCATGCCCCATCTAGGTGAGAATGAGAGAAAGGAATTTAGTTTGGTACCAGGAAGTTACTGTCTTCTTTAATTTACAAGCAGGCCTGGTCACCAATTTGAATTTTAGTTGAGAAGATAATAAGGCATTGTAGTCCTCTTTTAAAATGCAAATACTCTCTTCCGAAGGATTAAAACTATTTGTCACTTTTTTTTATTAGATAACTTCTTAATTTCCTAAGAAAGTTCTACAATGAAGGAATGAACTGGAAAGCATTGGTCAGGAGGGACCTTGAGCATTTTAGGTTATAGTGGTCCTTCAAGGGATAGAATTGTGCTCAGAAGACTAATAAAAATATATAGGAACTAGCTAATGTTTCCTAAGCTCAAAATTACTCCTAACATTTCACTCAAATAACCCAGGAAACTCAAAGACTTATCTTCTCATTAAAATTTTTTCTTCTTCTTAGTTTTAAAGACTATGTTGGTTTGTTTATTAGATGGGAAATCTTTCTTTTCTCAGTTGTTGCTATCATATTTATTTACTCACCTCTCCTGCATATCCATTTGTTTGGTTTTGTTGATAGATTATTGACTAAAGGCCAGAACGCATTGGTGGAGCTACAGACACAAAGACCGATTGCTCTTGAGCTTTACAAGGACTTTAAAGAGCTCGGGAGGTTCATGCTGCGCTATGGCGGTTCTACAATAGCTGCTGGTGTCGTCACCGAGGTATTTATTAGTGACTGATTGTACTGTTGATGTCATTAAGTGCTGTCAGGTAGGGTTTCCAAGGAGTGGCTGGTTTGAGCTGCTGATCTTGTGGTTCGCAGTCCAGTGCTGATCCTACAGTGCCACTCCAGGACTGTCCATGCTTTATCCATGGCTCTGATGTCTCTGCTTTTCTTCCACCTTTTAACAATGTTCACAGAGGTCCCTGGGTGAACAGTTAATATGCCTAGCTATTAATGAAGAGGTTAGAACTTCAAGTCCGCTCTGAGGCATCAAAGAGGAACAGCCTGGTGATCTACCTCTGGAAGAGCAGCCATTGGAAGCCCTGTGATGCCAACACACCTGGATCCACCATGATTTGGATTCAACTTTATAGAAACACGTTTTGGTGGGGGACTGAGATTTTGTGCCTTAAACTACAGCTATTGCATAAAAATTTTATATTAAAAATAGTAAAATTTATATTAGAAAACTTAAAGAAATGTTAGGAAGAAACTGGTCTAAAAATGTCTTATAGTGAGACTTTCAAACAATATTCTCACCTGAAAATTGAAGGGAATCTGTTGAAAACTAGGTCTGTAAGTATATAATGAAGTGTAGCACATAAACACCAGTGACCCTAGCATTAGGACTGGTACCAGTCCTCATTTTGAATCGGATAGTCATGTGCTTTACTATGCCAGGAATGACAGCTTGAAGAGGACTGCCATTGTATTCACCATAGAAAAGAAAATTTCAAGATCTGTCCTGAAGTACAAGGCTGTCTGTAATAGTATAATATCCATATGCCTACAAAGAAGACAAGTGGATATCACTATCATTCTACTTTATGCACCAGCCAATGAAACCTGTGATGATGAAATTGGAAATTTTACCAATTTCTTCAGTCTGAAATTGATCAGACATATAACCGAGATGCATTGGTAATTACTGGTGATTGAATGCAAAGATTGGAAACAAAGAGGAAGGATCAGTAATTGGAAAATATGACCTTGATTAGAGAAACGATGCTAGAGATCAGATCACATGATAGAATTTCTCAAGACCAACAACTCATTCATTGCAAAAACCTCTTTTAAATAATATTAAAGGGTCAACTATACACATGCACCTCACCAGATGGAATACACAGGAATCAAATTGACTATATCTGTGGAAAAAGACAGTGGAAAAGTTCAATATCATTAACCAAAACAAGGCCAGGGGCAGAATGTAAACTAGACCATTAACTGATCATATACAAGTTCAGGTTGAACCTGAAGAAAATGAAAACAAGCCACAGCCAAAATATGACCTTGAATATATTCCACTTGAATTTAGAGACCATCTCCAGAAGAACAGTTCTAAATTTGATGCATTAGACATTAATGATTAAAGACCATAAGAATTATGAGATGACATTAAGAATGCCATCCATGAAGAAAGCAAAAGGTCATTAAAAAGACAGGGATGAAAAAATAAAAATGATGTCAGAAGAGACTCTGAAACTTGCTCTTAAGTATAGAGAAACTAAAGCAAATGGAAGAAATGAAGACGTTAGAGCTGAACAGAAAAGGGCAGCTTGAGAAGACATAGTCAAGTATTATAGTAAAGTGTGCAAAGATCTGGAGTTCGAAAGCCAAAAGGGAAGAATATGCTTAGCATTTTTCGAGCAGAAAGAACTGAAAATAAAATTCAAGCCTCAACTTGAAATATTGAGGGATTCTATGGGCAAAATATTTAATAATACAGAAAGCATCTAAAGAAGATGGAAGGAATATATAGCACTGTATCAAGAAGAAATGTTCAGTGTTCAGCCATTTCAAAAGGTAGCATGTGATCAAAAATCTATAGTACTGAAGGAAGGAAGTCCAAGCTGCACTGAAGGCACTGGCAAAAAACAAGGCTTCAGGAATGGATGGAATACAAATAGAAATCTTTGATCACCTGATGTAGCAGTGGAGGCATTCATTCATCTATGCCAAGAAATTGGAAGACAGCTACCTAGACAACTCTCTGGAATAGAGCCATATTTGTGCCCATTCCAAAGAGAAGTGACCTAGTAGAATGTGGAAATCACTGAACAATATCATATCTCATGCAAGTAAACTTTTGCTGAAGATAATTTAAAAAATGGTTGTAACAGAAGTTCCAGCTAGACTCAGAAGTGGGTATGACACAGGGGTATCATTGCTGATGCTAGATGGACCTTGGCTGAAAGCAGAGAATACCAGAAGTTTACCTGTGCTTCATACCAACTGTAGACAACATTGTCGAGAATGAGTATTCTGGAACACGTAATTGTGCTTATGAGGAACCTGTATATAGACTAAGAGGCAGTTGTTCGAGCAGAACAAGGGGATATTGAATGATTTAAAATTAAGAAATGTGAGTGCCAGCGTTGTATTCTTTCATCATACTTATTTAATCTTTTTTTATGTTAAGCAAATAATCTGAGAATTTGGACTTTAGGAAGAAGAATGTGGCCTTAGGATTGGAGGAAGACTCATTAACAACCTGTGATATGCAGATGATACAACTTTACTTGCTGAAAGCAAAGAGGGGTTAAAATACTTTGCACCTGAATGTCAAGAAATGAAAATCCTCACAACTGGACCAGTAAAGAGCATCATGGTAAATTGAGAAAAGATTGAAGTTGGTAAAGACTTCATTTTGCTTGGATCCACAATTTGCATTACTGGAAGCAGCAGTCACGAAATCAAATGACATCTTGTATTAGACAGATCTGCTGCACAAGACCTCTTTAAAGTGCTAAAGAGCTAGGATGTCAGTCAGTTTGAGGACTCAGATGCTCCTGACCCAAACCTTGGTATTTTCAGTAGCCTCATATGGATGTGAAAGTTAGACAGTGAATAAGGAAGACTGTAGAAGAATTTGAATTACGGTGTTGAAGAAGAATATTAAAAGTACCATGGATTGCCAAGTGAATAAACAAATATTTTGTTGGAAGAAGTGTAGCTAGAATGTTCCTCAAAAGCCTGGATGGCCAGACTTCATACTTTGGACATGTTTCCAGGATAGACCAATCCCTGGAAAAGGACATCGTGCTTGGCAAAGTCCAGGGTAAGAAAAAAAGAGGAAGACACCCCCCCCCCCCCATGAGATAGATTGATTCCGTGGCATTAGCCATGGGCACCAATGTAACAATTGTGATGATGGCAGAGCACCGGGCAGTGTTTCCTTCTGCTGTGTGTAGGGTCACTGTGAATTGGAACCAACTAGATGACACCTAACAATAACTAAGTATATAATCCAAGTCATAGGATCTAGACTTTAGGATTTAAATGAATTAGTAGTAATAATTTTTTTATTAGAAGAGTTTTCATTCATTTTTTTCTTTAAATAATTCTCTCTTACTGCATTTAAAATGATCCCTTAAGAACATTCAGTTAACATACTAGCAAGGTTTCAGACATATATCTATTATATAATTCAAGGTGTACTTGAGTTTGGAGAAAATAGCCTTAATGAAGCAAGAAAAAAAATTTTTTTTTGCCACACTACCATTATTACTCTGAATCCTTATAACATTATATTATTAAAAGAACTTCATTATTTTATGATTGTTTTCATAAAATGAAATCAGTTAATTTAATTGGATGTATATATCAGTTTGAACTACAAGGTTGGTGTTTCAGATTCACCAGCTGCTCCCTGAAAACCCTATACAGGGTCATTATGAATAGTCAGAACGGACTCAAAAACACTTAGTAACAACAACATACTTTGAGCACAGACTCTTAAGTTGCATCAAAATGCAGTTATACATATGATGTGTAAAATCTTATTTTTATGTCTCTAAAGCACCAAGACACCTTGTGTACACCATTTATATAAAGTTCGTGAGGAAAGCAGTATAGAGTAGAGGTGAAGAGAAAAGTCTCTGGAGTTTGTGATCTTGCTCTCTGCTGTGCTAGCAACACAAGTATAAAACCTCTCCTTAAATTTGTTTATCTCTAAAAGTGTGAGGATGGAATTAGTTCAGTGAACTTGAGAGACTAACAGCAAGGGCAGCCTCCTAGAGTTGGGAAGTGACGCTACCCACCCAGAGCACTTGGCACAGTCATTGGCAAATAGGAACTATCCAATGCACCTTAGCTGCTACCATTGTTGTCATCCACATTTCAGTGTAATCGGACAAGACATTCTTTATAACTCAGTGGACAAAATAATGGAGAGATTATAATACATCTCAGAAATCACAGGACTGCGGGAGGGGGGATTTTCTCATGTAATAATTAAGTCACTGTCATTTTCTGTTTTTAATAACATGATTGATTAAATTCTAGTACACTTTTCTTCTTATTTTCTCTACAGATAAAAGAATGATGGACCTGAATTTCTGTCCTGTTACCAAATGCAGTGAAACAGCTAACTTCTGTTAGTAAAGAATCTAATTATTCAGATTAAAGGAACAATGTGCAGTTGAAATTTTTAAATGAGGGAAAAATAAAGCTATAATGAGCTGCCAAGAAGTATTAATAATCACTCTAGCAAACACTTTAAGTTGCCAACTGGCAAAGAAAAGCTAATATTGTATAATTTTATTTTTAAAGAAAAATGATTTTTTTCCTTTGAAATTTTAGTGAATGGATTTACCTTGCCGAGATTTATGGAAACTACCAGAACTCTGTATTAGAAGCTATTGACTTATCATGAAATGAACTTTTCTTCAGCCAAACTACAAAATGTTTACAGTTTTCTCTTTCGATTTTCAATTTTACTGCATACTTTTTCAGGAAAAGTAACTAAATTGGATTGTTGCAGTAGTTAATATTTAACCTGTTTTGTGTTGAGCCTAAGAATGTAACAAGTAAACTTTAGAAATCTTAATATGTAATTAGTGAAAGCTGTTCCTTTGGGAACCAAGATATTATTTAAGATGTAGTAGCGCCTTTAATAAAATGCCTTAGTTTGAGCATTGCAGCAAAATGTACTGTGTTTCTTAAACATTGACGAGTTTCTCTGCCAGTATCACTTAGTATGAGTTTGGAGGGGTTGTGGGGTCTTTTCACCTACGAGTTTCCTGGCTCTTTCACATGGATTCTTGCTGCTTATCCTAAAAACCACGAACCAAATGTTATCTCATTAAACAATTTCCATCTATTTTAAAGTGGCTGTGCCTCTAGCCTCGCCTTGCTCTTGGTGGGGGTGGTACAGAGGTGGTGGTCTTCTCTGACCTGGTTGGAAGCATTGCTGTCTGGGGGCTGGGTGGAGGCTTGTGGTGCAGCAGCCCCCCATCCCCACCCTCTGGCTCTGCATTCAGCTCTACTTATAAATTCCATCTTAAAAATCCCACTCTCAGACATAAAGTCTTTTGCTGGAAGGTCGCAGTTTGTGTCATCTTCGAGCCCCCCGCGTCGTATAGAAGCCCCTGTCTTTGTTGTTCCGAGTGCTTTGATAGAGTACTGAGGTGGACTTCCTGGAAGCTCTGTCTTCTGCCTAGAGTTGTGTCTGTGTTTGGCCATATACTGGGCACATCTTTCTGCATCTATCCTTCCTTGTTGGTCCCAGAATGGTGGTCTGTGTGCAGCCAAGGCTCCCTCCCACTATAAAGAAACATGTGGCCTTCTTCCTGGTGAGTGGGAGCATATTAGCAGACAGGCTTCTTTATCCCAAACATCTCTGGCAAAATTCTGTAAACTGTCCTGTATGAAAAATCCTGGTCCTTAACCAAATAACTAACACCCTTCTGGTTAAAATCGACTCAATCATGCCCCTTGGTCAGAATGGATCTTATTAGGCGTCCGGAAGCTTCCAGGATCTGCTGTCTCCTGGAAGTTGGGAGTTACAGAGACTGATAGCCTGTTGGGTTATGGAAAGAAAAAAAGAGCACATACTCATTCTGAGGTACTGTAGGTGAGAGTAATTTCTAAATGGTTCGCTTTGCAGAGCAGCCCTGTTCACCGAATATGTCGAGAAGGTATATTTCACTGGGTCAAGAAAAACTCCTTAACAGATGCTAATGTCTGTCCTCTCCAGGCCTCTGGAGACATAAATTAATGAAGGCAGGACTAGAGCTGTGATTTCATAGCTCGTGGCTGTACCAATCCAGTACCCTCTGTTGTTAAGTGCTATTGAGTTAGTTCTGACTCATAGTGACCCATAAGGTTTCCAAGGCACAACTGGTGAGTTTGAACCTCCAACCTTGTGGTTCATAGTCTAGTGCTGATCCTACAGTGTCACACCAGGAGTCCCACTACAAGAGTTTAATTTTGTGATTCTCAGAACAGTGTTCCTGAGCTGGAAAAGGCAAACTCCTCCTTCCCTCTGTACTGGCCACAGCTTCAAGTCACCCCTCTGGCCCAGCACTGCTCTTTCACCTCCTCAGGGACCCAGGGCCTAGAGTTGCATCATTAGCACAAATTGTGCATAGCATTTGGGGGGGTGGGGGTCCCCCACTTTGACCACACCTTTGCTTTACAGAAGGCTGTCTCTCCCTATATGTGGGGGCAGTATTTGTAAGGCAGAGCATCAGTGAGCTATTTTGAAATTATCTGCTAATGCCAGGGCAGGCGGGCTTACTCTGGTGACAGATGCATGCCAAATGCAATGGTATAGCCCAATGTAAGTGCATTTTGTGTTAAGCTTAACCATAGAGTAAAACATGACTGGGCTATCCTGGCCTCCGCCTGCTGTCCATAGCCTCCCTGGTTTACCTGGCACTGAGAGAGACGGGGGACAATTTCCAGCAGGCTGTGCTTTCATCCACAGTCCCTGACCAGAGTGATCCATGTCGTCCTGTCGATCTGCAAGGGACCGAAACATGCCCAGGAGAAGAGCTGAATGTTAGCAACGATTTGTGATGTCCATCACTTGAAGCCTCTAACATTTTCCAGAAATGACGAGTTTAATATAAATATGTGTTAAGAGGTTATAGGGTCACACTTGAGGTGGGGTCTGGTCTTCATACACCTTGAACTTCACTTTTCTTCCTTGTTGCCCTTTTTGCTGACTTTTTTTTTTTTTTTAATGTTTTTATTGTGAATTATGTGATAGTTTACATGGGAGAACATTAGCTTTATGTTCATCCTATCGTATATTGTTTCATTGCTATCATTCACAGTCCCCTTCATCCATCATCAACCAAAGGGTATACCCTGCAAGCCTGTCCCCCCTTCCCTCCCCCTGCCCCCGGTTGTCAGCACACAGCCCCTCTCCCTCTCTGGCTCTAAATTCCTCCGCCACTCCATCTCTCCACATCATCGTCTCTGCCACCATCTCTGGCATCACTGTTTCTCTGGGTAGGGTCCTGCTCTCCGCTCTTCTCCCGGGATGGTCCCAGGGTCCTATGCTCCTAGACTGCAAAGTCAACCACTCCCCTCCTTTTGCTACAAAACATCTACCTTTATATTTCCAACCCTCACAGTCTCTGACTTTTTCTAACCATCAGCTCTCTTTTACTGATCCTGTCTTCATCATGTCACAGTTCCTTTTGGTTCTATTCTGAGCTCCAAATTTGGACAGCAATGGCATGCCCCCAAGTCCCCCTAAGAGGAGCACATACAACCAAGACATTCCTTGGCATTTCTAATCCATCACTTTTCCTAGCATAATTTTAAGATATGATTGTGCTCACTGAGGAGGCAGAGAGTGAGGGAAGGAGAAAGACCCACATCCTACCACAGACAAGTTGTGGTTATTCCTATGACAACATTTGATGCCCATCCATTCTCCAGCTAGTTCTCAACTGAACGACAGGGTGATATTCCATCTCTGCTATAAATTGGTTCTGACATTGTCTGATACCTCATTTTAAAGTGTTTTCATTGTTAACTGCCTTTTATTATCAGTATCTTTATAAATCTGTTCATTATTTGATTCTTGGGGATTGGTGATGCCGTGGTAGTGGTGCCATGGAGTCAATTCCAAGTCAGTGACCCTACAGAGGGTTTCTGAAGCTGTAAACCTTTACAGGCGCAGACAGCCTCAGCTTTCTCCCACAGAGCATCTGGTAGATTTGAACTGCTGGCCTTGTGTTAGCAACCCAGCTTATAACATGCTACCTGGGCTCCTTCATGTTAGTGATACCAAGTTCCAAATTCAGTGTTCTTGCCACGTAGACAATTTTTCCACCAATCTCTCCCATCATATTGTCCTCATGAAATACTTGGAGTGAGTGGGTTCACATCACAGCATCGTTTTCATGCCCCTTGCATTCATTTCCATTAATTTCTTCCCATGAAGATGAAATGTTCTAGGTACACTGACAGTCATACATGCAGCTTATGGAAACTCAAGTATATTGTAAGTCAGGGACTACCTGTGTATAACGTTTTGAGTGGGAGAGAAAGATTGTAGACCCAGGAGGACACGAAGCCATGTGAAATGAAAGTACTTGTCTACCTGTCTATATAAAGAACTCTGGTAGCGTAGTGATTACCAGTCAGGCTGCTATCCCCAAGGTCAGCAATTTGAAAGTATCAGCCATTCCATGGGAGAAAGATGAGGCTTTCTGCTCCCATAAAGATTGACAGTCTCGGAAACCCTATGCAGGATTGCTATGAGTCAGAACCGACAGTGAAGGGTAACGGATGCTCAGAAGGAAAATGCTTGCTCTTCTCCACATTATCCACGTTCATTCTTACATCTGGGCAGGAGCGCTGTGGATCAGCTTGGATAGTGTTCACATCTCCACTGCCTCCTGTTACATCATGCTGCTCAGGGACCCTGTGTGGCTCCTGAGGTTTCTCCTCTGATGCTGGGCCTCATTAACCTGGCCTGCAGGACTCTCTTGTCACCAGGCTACCCAGCCGCTGCTGCCCAGGGGGAGAAGTGTGCAGCCCCTGCAGAGGCTCTTAGCTCTGATGGCAGGCCTTCTGCCCAGTGGCACCCAACTGTGCCCTGCTGTAGGAAGACCTCCAGGGGGTACACTCAGGCCTCTGCCGGGTATAGGCATGTACTACATACAGCTCTCATAGCTCTCCTTGCAAGTTTCCTGCTCTAACGCACTGGGATCTCCCTCTGTAGGTCTGGCAAGTTCGCCACCACTGTCTTGTGCCATCTTCAGTGTGACCACTCTCCCTTGTGGGTCTGGGGGTTTCTCAGTGAAGGGACGCTGTTTCCAAAGGACATGCTCCACTCCAGACTTTCTGAGAATAGTGAGGTCACCTTGAACTGCTTTGAGATTGGCCCTTATATAAACCGATTCCTTGTCAATTTCAAGACAGGGTTCTCCAGTAGGACAATGAATCAACCAATCCCCTCAGTATACCATAAGCCACGATTTGCATAGAACCAGACAAGCATTTTGTGAGAGTTATGATTTGTCACACTGGTAACTTGTGTGTTCCTGTGATCCTGGAAGCTATGCCACCAGTATTTTAATTACCAACAGGATCTCCCATAACAGAGACGTTTCAGCTGAGCTTCCAGACTAAGACTAAAAAGGAGAAACGGACTACTTCTGAATATTTAGTCACTGAAAACCTTACGAATAGCTGTGGAATACTGTCAGATAGAATCAAAATGTTGAAACATGATGAAGAACACTAGAATATTGTCAGATATAGTGCCGGAAAATGAGCCACTCAGGTTGCAAGGCACTCATAATAAGACTGGGGTAGAGTTGACCCATGATGACATGAATGGAGTAAAGCCTTCAGGATCTTCATTTGCTAATGGGCACAACTCAAGATAAAGAGAAACAGCTGTAACCATCAACTAATAATCAGAACATGGAATGTATTAAGTATGAATTGTGAAAACTGGAAATTGTCCAAAATGAAATGGAACACATAAACATCAATATCCTAGGCATTAGTGATTGAAATGGACTGGTTTTGCCCATTTTGAATCTGACAATCACATGGTTTACTATGCCAGGAAAGAAATTGAAGAGGAATGGCATTGCATTAGTCATCAAAAAGAACATTTCAAGTACATGTGTCTGTGATAGGATAATATGCAAATGCCTACAATGAAGACCAGTTAATACAACTATTAATCAAATTTATGCACCCAGCACTAAAGCTAGTGATTATGAAATTGAAGAATTCTATCAACTTCTTCAGTCTGAAATCGATCAAACATGTAATTAAGATGTATTGATAATTACTGGTGACTGGAATTCAAAGGTTGGAAGCAAAGAGGAAGGATGTTGGAAAACATGACCTTGGTGACAGAAACAATGCTTGAGATTGCATGATAGAATTTTACAAGACCAATGACTTCTTCACTGCAAATACCTTTAAAAAAATCAACATAAAAGATGGAATACACAGAAATCAAATTGACTACATATGAATAAGTCCACAAGAACCAAAATATGACTTTGAACATATTCCACCTGAATTTAGAGATCATCTCAAGAACAGATTTGATGCATTAGACACTAAAGACTGAAGACCAGAAGAGTTGTGGGATGACATCAAGAATATCATACAGGAAGAAAACAGTCATATAGAAGACAAGGAAGAAGGAAAAACTCAAAATGGGTGTCAGAAGAGACTCTGAAACTGACTCTCCAGCATACAGATCCTAAAGTAAATAGAAGAAATCCTAAAGTAAATAGAAGAATCCTAAAGTAAAAGAGCTCAACAGAAAATTTCAAAGAGCAGCTCTAGAAGACAAAGTCAAATATTATAATGAAATGTGCAAAGACCTGAAGTCAGAAAATCAAAAGAGAAGAACATGTTCAGCATTTCTCAAGCTGAGGGAACTGAAGAAAAATGTCAAGCCTTGAATTTGAATTGAAGGATTCTATGGGCAAAATATTGAATGATGCAGAAAGCATCAGAGTCACTGTACTAAAAAGGAACGGTCAGTGTTCAACCATTTCAAGTGGTAGCATAAGATCAAGAGCCAATGATACTGAAGGAAGAAGTCCAAGGTGCATTGAAGGCATTGGCAAAGAACAAAGCTTTGGAAATTGATGGAATACAAATTGAAATCTTTCAACAAACTGATGTGGCACTGGAGGCACTCACTCATCTATGCCAAGAAATGTGGAGGACAGCTAACTGGCCAAGTAGGTGAAAAAGATGCATATTTGTGCCCATTCCAAAGAGAGGTGACTCAAGGGAGGGCAGAAATCATTGGACAATATCATTAGTAGCACATGCAAATACAATTTTGCTAACGATAATTCAAAAAAACGATTGCAACAGTACATTGATGGAGAACTGTCAGATGTTCAAGTCGGATTCAGACAAGGATGTGGAGTGAGGGATAGTATTGCTGATGTCAGATGAATCTTGGCTGAAAGCAGAGAATGCCAGAAAGATGTTTACCTGTGCTTTATTGACTGCAAAGGCTTTTGATGGTTTGAATCATGACAAGCTATGGAAAACATTACAGAAAAATGAGTATTCCAGAATGCTTAATTATGCTCATTAGGAACCTGTACATAGACCATGAGGCAGTTGTTCAAACAGAATAAGGGAATACCGAATGGTTTAAAATTAGGAAAGGTGTGAGCTGTACTTACTCAATCTGCATGCTGAGCACATAATCTGAGAAGCTGGATTATATGAAGAAGAATGTGGCGTCAGGATTGGAGGAAGACTCATTAACCACCTCCGATATGCAGATGATACAACCTTGCTTGCTGAAAGGGAAGAGAACTTAAAATACTGATGAAGATAATAAAACAAAACAAAAAACCCACAGCCTTTGTTATGGTTTGCAGTTCAATGTAAAGAAAACAAAAATCCTCACCACTGAGCCAATAAATACCATTAAGATAAATGAAGAGAAGATTGATGTTGTCTAAGACTTCATTTTGCTTGACTCACCCATCAACACTCATGGAAGCAGCAGTGAAGAAGTCAAACGACGTATAGCATTGGACAAATCTGCTGCACAAGACCTCGGGTTGAAGAGCAAAGATGTCAGTTTGAGGGCGAAGGTGAGCCTGACCCAAGCCATGGCATTTTCAGTAACTTCATATGCATGCAAAAGATGGACAGTGAATACAGAAAACCATAGAAGAATTGATATATTTGAGTTATGGTGTTGGAGGAGAATATTAAGAGTACCATGGACTGCTGAAAGAACAAACCAATCTGTGTTGGAAGAAATATAGCCAGAAAGAATGCTTCTTGACAGCCAGGATGATTTTGTCTCTCAGACTTTGGACATAGTATCAGGAAAGAACAATCTCTGGAGAAGGACATCACTCTTGGTAAAATGGAATGACAGAGGAAAAAGAGGAATACCGCCAACAAGATGGATCGGCACAATTGCAACAGCAGTGGGCTCAAGCTCAGTAATATTTATGAGGTTGATGCAGGACTGGGCAGTGTGTCATTCTGCTGTGCACTAGGTTGCTAGGAACTGGTACTGATTCGATGACATCTAATGACAACAGGTCATGTAAAAGCAAATCATTGCACTGCAGGAAGGACATTTTAAAATGTAACACATGATGTGAAAGGCTATTATATTTATATGATTTTGGAGAGACTTGAACTCATTTAAAGGCTTAAAGAGCAGGGAGGATGCAGAGTCAAAAGGAGAGGACAATTTGGTGGTGGTCAATTTCCTGGGAGACAGGAGGAGGATGAGATCCTCAACAGATATTTCTCTGCCTAGGTTGGCCCAGGATTGGGCAGTGTTTCATTCTGCTATGCATAAGGTCGCTATGGGTCGGTACCGACTCGATGGCACCTAATAACAATAACAACAGAGTTACCTTGGAGTCCTGGTATGGCACTGTAGGATAAGCACTAGGCTGCTAGCAAAAAGTTGGTGGTTCAAGTCCACCAGCTACTCTTCAGATACCCTATACAGGGTCACTATGATTGAGAATCAACTCGAGGACACTTATCTATCTGCAAAGTAGCATCCTCTAATCCCTTCTTTCTCTGCACTGTGCTCCAAGTTCCTTTCACAGTGTTTCTTCCTAGCCCAGCACACTCTCACCAGCTGATCCTGGGCAACCCTACACTGAGTCTCTATGAGTTAGAACTTACTTGATGTAAGTTAGTTTGATTCATAACAACAGTTCCTTTTGCAGAGTCTTGGTGTGGTGCTGTGGGATAAGCACAAAGCTGGTAGTTCAAACACACCAGCGGCTCCTGGGAAACCCTATACAAGGTCATTATGAACCAACTCTATGACACCTTCACTACCACAATGGTTCTCTGCGTATTAGTGCACCTCTCAGTAAATTATATAGGATGCGCTGCTGAACGAAGGATGAACTCCTTGGTCGTTTCTCCTTAACAAATCAAAGCATCTACAGACACTTTGGAACTAAAACACTGATTTAACACAAGCACCTTCTTGGAAAGGGCCCCTTCTCCCCATCCAGTAAGAGGAGGCAAGGAAGCTGTGCAAAGATGAAATTTTTTTCTCAGCTTGAAAAGTTGAACATCTTCCAGGTTACTTTAATTTGCTTATGTTAATGACATTTGGTCATATTGATGTTTTTGTTAAAAACCTCTTCCAATATCTTTTAATTGTTAAGTGCCATTGAATTGATTCCTAGTCATAACAACATTGCATAGTGTTTCCAAGGAGCAGCTGATGGGTTTGAACTGCCAACCTTGTGGTTCACAGTGCCACATCAGGAGTCCAGTTTAGAAATTGGTCCCATATAAATAAATATATACATGGATAAATTAATACAATAATATATACAGTCAGGGTCCATTCAGGAGAAGAAAAATCATGGAAGACATTTCAAAGAAAGGAAGGTGATTATATAACCATTGGAAAGCTACAAGAGCACACAGGAAATACTGAGATAACCCAAATATCAGGAATGCAAAAAGCAGCTACCATTGAGAAGATGGAACAAAAAGGAAAGGTGAGCTACTAGAAGAAGGCAGCCAAGGCAAAGAAGGAGAGATAAAGAATGGAAAAGGGGACTCTGTCTTCCGCTGTCTCTGTGGTTGCGAGAGCAGTGAGGCATGGAGCAAAAAGAGCATGCTTTGGAGACCAAGCGGCTGTGGTTCAGACCTTAGTAACTATGTAACCTAGGACAAGTCGTTCAACCCATCAGAGGCTTAGTTTCTTCTAAAAAGTGCAAGTAATAATATGTGCTTCATATGGATTTGTTGTGTGGATTAAATGTGTTGTTGTTACTTGGTGTGGAGTCTGCTTTCACTCATGACAACCTTATGTATTTACAGAACAAAATATCCAGTCCTGCACTATCTTCGTGTAAAAGGAAATGCTTCAGAGACTTTGTTGTTGTTGTTAAGTGCCATCGAGTCGGTTCCGACCCATAGCGACCCTGGATAGGGTTTCCAAGGAGCGGCTGGTGAGATTGAACCGCCAACCTTGCAGTTCAAACGGATTTGCTGTCTGGCGCATTAAGCCACTGCACCACACCAGGACTACCACTTCATAAATCCGCAGTGAAAAGTTGACAGTTGAATGCAATACAATGGTGCTTTTTGATCATCTTAAAGGGCTATGACACACATGTTGATGTTTAAGACGTAATGCATTGGAAATCTGTGAGATGCATGAATCCTTTCTTAGTTTATAGTTTGGAGATTGCAATACTCAGGAAGATTCAGGTCAGCGTCTACTGGTCAATGATTTACAGATGAGAATCCTGGGTTTGGAAGAGAAGGGAAACTAACTCAGGAGTAGAAGAAAAGTACAGAGGACAAAACTGAAGTACTGTGAAGGTGACAGGTAGAATTTTTCTTCATACAAATGGCTGCAACAAAGACACTTTTGACTTTGGAAAATTTCATCGGTGGCAAGTTTTTACCTTGTAACTCATATATAGATTCTTATGACCCTTCAACAGGGGAAGTATACTGCCGAGTGCCTGATAGTGGAAAAGCAGAGGTGAGTATACTCCCTTATAGAACACAAATTCATTAAATTTATTAAATGTGTTAAATTCATGCAGTGTGTTGGTCCGTTATGGGAACTTTAACTTTCTAAATGCAAAGGGAGTTGGGAGAAGGAATAGAACAGTTGAATGCTATTGCTATTGTTATTAGGTGCTGTCACGTCAGTTCTGACTCATAGCAATCCTATGCACAACAGAACAAAACACTGCCTGGTCCGGCACCATCCTCACAATTGTTGTTGTTGTTAAGTGTCGTTCAGTCGGTTCTGACTCATAGCGACCCTGTATCGGGTTTCTGAGGAGCAGCTGGTGAGTTTGAACCGACGACCTTGTAACTAGCTGAAGAACAATCTCATAGGACGGCTTATTTTGTTACTGTACATGGATGGAATTTAACCAGATCTCAGGATACTACTGCATTCAGAAGCGGGGTCCTTATCTAGCCAACATAACACACATGTGTGTGTCCGTTTTTGTTTGTGTAATCCATGAACATTTCTGAATCAACATCTAGTTAAAAGAATTATTTATAAGAATGATCAGTATTACTAAATGCTCCCTTTTCTCTATCAAGAGCTGCTAAACTTTACTCCTATATCCATGGGTTCCTAAAAAATCTGTTTCTTTATTAAAAACAAAGCAAAAACGGATGAATTTTAGATGGTCTTCTGAATAATTTCTTGTGTCTTCCAAATATTTAATGTAGCCAGCAGCAGAGACAGTAAAGTGAAATCCATCATTTGAAACCCAAATTTCAATTCTCATATAATTTTTTAGTTAAATTTAGCAACATCCCTTTGCTTACTCAAGCTGCTACCTGGCACACTCTTTAAAAAATAGTGATTTGGAATTAATTTTGTTTGGATAAATTTCTAAAGTATTTGTGATATTTTTGATACTTATAAAATTACTGTACTGAGAATGTTTAACATATCTGGTGTGATAAAGATGGATTATGGATGTATAGTTATCTCATGGCTAGTGGATTATAATTTATTCTTTGAAAAGTACAAATAACTAAATTACTTAAAATTATAGCCTTCACATATAAATATATATTACAGGCAAAGTTAAAAACATTTTTTAAAAGCACTTAGCTACTGTTTCCCTTTGGTTAATGACATTTTAAATCTGCCTTGCTTTAGAAAACCTTTAGACTTTTGGATGGAGAAAAAAAAATTTTTGTAGTTATTTCCTAATCATGGGTTAAATTGTAACTAACAATTCTGTTTTGCTTTAAATGACCTGGGATAAATGTGATAAAGCCAAATTCATAGCTTCCCATTCTTTTTCTGGTCAAGTCTTTTCCAAAGTGAAGTTAAAAATTACAAATACACCAAATTCAGCTGAAATGTTTTCTGTAGGTAATGACTTTGCCTTTTTAGAAAACAGAATGTGGTATATATAGGTTACTTGCTCATCAAGTAATAGATATTCTGGATTTCCCACCAATTCAACTTGTGGATATCCTATCTGGGCCCTTTAAGTCTGACTCAAAAAAATACAGTCACTAAACAAACTACATGCCTCATTGACCAATAAGTGGCCCTCAGGAAATGCTATTGATACTGTTAAGAGTGACTCTGTGTTCCAGTGAGTCTTGTTTAGCATGAATGAGTCCTAAGAATTTATGAATTAGATGCTATTATTCTCTTTATGTCTTAGAGAAGAGTGTGTCAGTGCACTCTATCCGATACTTAGACCAATGGTGATTCCTGCACACACACAGACATTTGCAGAATAGCAAAGCTGAGTGAATTCACACTGCCACTTGGTGGCTCTAACCTTGGCTTAGAGCTGAAGCTCTCCGTTTTTCAATCTTCTCATCTATAACATGGAAATAATACTAGCTACTTCATGTTATTGTGGCGAGGCCTGGTGTGGTGCTGTAGGATAAGCACTGGACTGCTAACTTCAAGTTCAGCGGCTCAGACCCACCAGCCACTCCTCAAATACCCTAACAGGGTGGCTATGAGTCCGCACCGACTCAATGGCCCTTAATAAAAACAGTATTGTTGTTAGAATCGAATAGATTGTAGTGAATTCAAGGGGTTTCAGGGCTGCGCTAAGGAAAAATATGTGACCACAAGATGGCAGTGTTGCCAAAGAAGCTAGTTATTGGAGCTCGCGCTTCAGCAACAAACAAGTGTTGACAAGTTTTGCTTGTGGGGCACGCCCCTCACAGCAAAAGACCTTCCAAAGTCACGAGGCCTGGGGGTGCCCTCAGAAGGGGAAGAGCTCAAAGAAACTCTAGGGGGAGGGGGAAAGAGGTATCCTAGAGGGGATCCTGCTCAGCAGCAAGATGGGATGTCTGTGTCTCAGAGCTCCAAAGGCAGCAATGGCTTGGAGTCTTTATAACTACAGTTTTATCTTATCTTTGGCTAGAAGGGGAGTCCTGTTGGTGCAATGGTTAAGTGCTTTTCTGCGAATCAAAAGGTCAGTGGTTCGAACCCACCCAGTGACTCCATGATAGAAAAGACCTGGGGATAAAGACTGTGGTCTAGAAAACCCTACTCTGTCACATTGGGTCTTAGTGTGTCAGGATCAACTTAGCAGGTACACAGTAGCAATATGGCAAGCAGGTATTGGGTGTAATTTCTCAATGTACGCAGAGCCAGACAGACTTTGCATACCCTAAAGTGGATAAGGACCTCTAGTAGCGTAGTGGTTACGAATCGGACTGTGAACCTCAGAATCAGCAGTTTGAAACTACCAGCTGTTCTGCGGGAGAAAGATGAGGCTTTCTGCTACCGTAAAGGTTTACAGCCTCGGAAACCCTGTACAGGGTCACTATGAGTCGGAACCGACTCCACGGCACATAACAACAACAACAAAGTGGATAAAGGAGTCCTGGTATGGTGCTGTGGATTAATGCACCAGGCTGTAAAGCCGTTTGAACTGCAAGATCGGCAGTTCAAGCTCACCAGCTACTCCTTGGAAACCCTATACAAGGTCGCAGTCGGTTGGAATTGACGGCACTTAACAACAACAACAACAAAGTGGATAAAAATCTGCTTTGTTTTAGGCTACTTTTAAAGCAATTGAATGTGTAAAAATATGAGTTTGATGTGGCAGAATTTTCATTTTTGAAATAAACAATCTGGGACCTAAACACAGAAGCCATTAATTTTCATTTATATAATACAGATTAAGATATATAT